GGGAACGACATGAATAAAGAGCCTCAGGATTTCCGTATCAGAGATCATTTGTTTGGGGCGGTGCCATCGCCAAGCTGCGCTGGATTTGCCTTGCGCAAGACAGCTAAGGATAACAGTGCTACCTTTCACCCCGACGTTGTCGAAACTGTGAACAAAAACTTATACGTTGATGACTGCTTGAAGTCGAGTGAAAGTGAAACTATGTCCATCAAGCTCCTGCCTAAACTCAGTTAGCTGTTAATGAAAGTAGGCTTCCATTTAACAAAATGGCTGTGTAACTCTCCGAGGGTGCTTGCAACTATTCCTGAGTCAGAGAGAGCAAGTTCTGTAAAAGAGCTCGATTGTGAAATCATGCCAACGGAGCGGGCCCTTGGTGTCAGATGGAGTTTAGAATCAGACACTTTTGGGTTTAAAGTGAAGTTTAAGGACAAGCCTCCAAAACGCCGTGGAATGTTATCTATAGTGAGTTCAGTGTACGACCCATTTGGTTTCGTAAGTCCTTTCGTACTACCGGCTAAAGCTGTCCTCCAAGACCTATGTAGAAGAGGGCTTAGTTGGGATGAAGCCATCCCGGAAGAAAGCTTGAAGTGCTGGAAGGAATGACTTTTAGAACTCTCTCGAATGGAATAGTTTTCTATTGACCGCTGCGTTAAGCCGTACGGGTTTGGGAAGATCTCCAAATGCCAACTTCACCACTTCAGCGATGCGATGCAGATTGGTTATGGCTCAGTCACCTACATTCGTCTCGTTGATGAAGGAGGCCAGGTCCATTGTGCGCTTCTCATGGCCAAGTCAAGAATGGCCCCCCTAAAGTCCATTAGTATTCCACTACTCGAGCTGTCAGCAGCAACTGTGGCTGTCAGACTCGACAAGATGATAAGAAGAAAGTTAGAGTTGTCTGTGCACGAATCAACCTTCTGAACAGAGAGTACTTCAGTGCTTAAGTACACTGGAAACATTAATGCAAGGTTTCACACTTTCTTGGCAAATAGAGTGTCTCAGATTCTCCATGGTTTTTCCCCTGTCCAGTGGAGACATGTCCCAACAAAGTCAAACCCCGCCGATGATGCGTCAAGGGGTCTTAAGGTTGAAGCCCTTCTAACAGCTGCTCGGTGGAAAATAGGCCCGTCCTTCTTGTGGAAGCCGAAAGATAAGTGGCCAAATCAGTCCAGCGTTGAGAAAATTTCAAGAGATGATCCTGAAGTCAAGAAAATAATTTCAGTCGGCGATGTGCATACGAAAGAAGCTACTGCAAAAATTTATGAAGAATTTAACAGATTCTCTTTATGACACGGTCTTGAGAAGTTCGTCGCCTGGATCCTAAGGTTCAAAGCTAACCTTCATAAAGCGAGCTGTCGAGCGTTCGAGGTACCAGTAACGCAGAAAGGAAGACAACCTATACAGCCAATCTCTAAAGTCGAGATGAGAGATGCTGAACGAAGTATCATCAAATGTGTTCAAAAAGAACACTTCAAGGAAGAGATCCAGAGTCTGGAGGTGCCAAAGAATCATGAAGAAAATACAGGCTCAGGGCCCAGGCCAAGTTCCGTTAAGAAGAGTAGTAGGGTCTTTAGTTTAGACCCGGTCCTCATGGATGGTGTGCTAAGGTTCGAAGGACGTTTACGTCGTGCTTCGCTGCCCCAGGATGCTAAGCACCATGTCATCTTACTGAAAATCATCCGTGACAAACTTGATAGTACGACACTATCACTTCATATCTGGTCACTCAGGAAGAGAATACGTTCTGTCCCTATTGCGAGGCAAGTTCTGGGTTATTCATGGAAATTCAGTGTTGCGGAAGCTCCGGGTGAAGTGCTTTGATTGTAGACGAAGACAAGCCCCGGTCTGTAATCGGAAAATGGCAGATCTCCCTGAGGAACAAGTGTCGGTTTGGCAACCACCTTTTAGCCATGTGGTGATCGACTTCTTTGGCCCGTTTCTGGTGAAGCAAGGTAGACGTCGATTCAAAAGGTATGGGTGCTTCTTTACTTGTTTGAATATAAGAGCAGTCCACATAGAAGTCGCTTACTCGCTAGATACCGACTCATTCATAAATGCACTTCGCCGATTTATTGCGAGGAGAGGCAAGCCAGTGTTGGTGAGAACCGATAACGGTTCCAGTTTTCGCAGCGGAGACAAGGAGATCCGTGCTAAAGTTCTACAGTGGAATACCCATCGGACTCATGAGTACCTGTTACAGCAAGATGTTTGCTGGATTTTCAACCCTCCCTCTGGATCACACAACGATGGTATTTGGGAGCGGTGTATCCGCACCACGCGGAAGATTTTGAATGCTTACTGAAGGAGCAAGTTCTTAACGATGAATCCTTGGTAACCCTCGTGTGCGAGATAGAGTCAATTATAAATGGTAGACCCATCACAGAGGTGTCTCAGGATCCAAGAAACCTCGAGGCTCTTACCCCAAACCATTTGCTTCTGCTTTGATCTGGATCGACTGTACCCCCAGGAATTTTCAAAAATAAGCATACCTATTCTCGCAAGAGATGGCGACAAGTGCAGTATCTCGCGGATCAATTTTAGAGACGGTGGTCTCGTGAGTATATCCCTTTGTTACAGCACCGGCAGAAGTGGAACTTTCCGCGCAGAAACTTAGCTGTTGGTGACGGTGTGTTGATGGTGAATGACAGCTCTCCTAGGAGCTGTTGGCCAATGGCGAGAGTAATCGAAGTCATGCCCGGAAGAGACGGATTTGTGCGCCGAGTAAAAGAGAAGTCAAAGACATCAGAGTTAGAACGCCCTATCGACAAGTGTGTCCTTCTCGAGGCTATGGAGGAATGTGGACTGCCAAAAATACTGACAAAAATACTTTTCACTAACTTTGAACGATGACATCGAGATGGAAAGTCAGGTTTGCAAATATACAGCGAGCAGATCAAACTAGAATTTTTGAGCTCAGACAACTTAATCCAAGTATCCTTTGTCCTGAAATCCACAAAGCTCACACAAAATTTATAGATATGATTAAGTTTAAATATTTGCAAATGGACAGCAAAATGGAAGGTTACATCATTATTTCACAAGAACAGTGATCTGTTAAGAGAAGTTACCTCGCAGGTTACTTAGCCATGTCCCACTATCCTTTAGATCACCTGTAATGTTTCCTATTTTCATTACGAACAGCATTTATTTGATTTTTGCGAATCAGGTCACTGATTTTCTCTTGGCGAGTGGCTCTCATAGCATCACTCTCTGTTCTTGCATTCTCATTTCGGATCTTACAAAGGTGCTTTACCAGTGGTGACATGTAAGGTGGGTCTCTCGAAGATAACTTGACTGTTATCACTTGAAAACAGTCATTATAAATTTGCTCTAGTTTCTGACTCAACAGTTCAACACTCTCATCAAGGTTAGCCAGGGAGCTTAAAACACTCCAGTCATACTCCTCAAGCTTTAAGTCCATCGCAATTTTACAGTGTTCACGGGTGTCTCTAAAGCCGACCTTTTTCCTACTATTTTTTTTCCGGAGTGGAGGCACAATAATAGCAAAATGATCAGATCTTACAAGACCTTTCATTGAAGAACCGGGTTTCTAAAGGAACGGGTAGTTTGTAATGAACACATCTAGAGTTCGTTTGACACGTGTAGGAGCTTTTATCAATTGTTTGAAAACCGCTATGGCAAGCTGGGCTCCCTCTTTAAATATCTTTTTTTAAGAAAGAAATAAATAAATAAATAAATAAACTCCCCGATGTTTAGTTGTTTAATATCACCAGCAATAATAACTGGGGTGAGCGTTCGCAACCGACCACTTCCACTCTTTACCATTGTCGGTCTTTTATTGCTATCCAATTCGCGAGATATAAAAACAGGGATTCTGCCAACCTCGTTCCCAGGGTATCTCATCTTCCCGTCCCCCGAAGCGAGCGAGGAGAGACCCTGGTATAGGCTGGTCAAGTGTCTTGCAGATTTTAGCAGATTTCAAATTAGCGGTTTGAGGAAGGGGCAGATAAGTGGGAAACTCTCTCCACTTAGTCCTCTGGCGAGCGTAGCTTATCGGCAGTCAAAACAAGCGACACGTGAAGCGCTTCCAACCGAATATCAACTGAGAATATTCAGCAGACGCCCAAAAAGATCAGTAAATCTTCCACTACGGTAAATATCAATTGTTGCAGGCTTTGCAAATCAGTTGGAAATGTATCTTGCTCGAAGAACATCTGCCAACTCATGGCAGCTCATGATCAACTCGTGAAACCTAGCACTTTTTAATCTGAACAAAGGGGTACCCCAATCACGCAGATTATCCCTGTACGGACCATACATTTATATTCTATAAGAGAAACATTGAACCTCTTTCCCAGGGTCTCTCATCTTCCCATTCCCTCTCGCCACAGGGAGCGGGACGCTAAGAGACCCTGGGAAGGAGTTTGGGGAAATATCAATTTCACCCCTTCCCACTCAACGACCAAGAGGCCCAAAATCAAACACTGCATCATGCAGCATTTCAGTCGAACGCTGTTGGTACGTTATCTGGGTATTTCTCGCTGTTCCCACCCCAGTTGTAACGTGAATTGTTCTTTGTGAATAAGATCTAAAATGAGATAAGGGGAAATTAAACCACTCATTAGGAATTATTCTAACAAATGCTACATTTGGTTAACAAAATTAAATTTGTCAAAACATACTTACGTTTAAAACTTCACACGCGATGAAATAAAAGATGACTAATACGCGCGTTGCCATAATGATACTAAAAAAGCATTAAGAATTTAATGGCAAGTTTCGCAGAGGTTATCGGAGGTAAGTATTTACAAATGACTATCGTTTTCTCCGTAAATTTGCCCTGTTTTGCAGTGTAATATGGTGGCATATACTGTGCATTCTCAAGACCTTATTTGGTAAAATGACATAGCTTTTCTCCTCTTCCCCTTCAATCCGATTCCATTTCACCTTTCCCCTGTCCCCTCATAATTTATTAAAGAGGGTTTCCATGGTAAAGGGTTTGGAGAAAGTTTGCATCTAATTATATCTCACATCGAACAGACGCCATTGAAAATTGTGAAGAAGACAATGGCTTCAAAGAAAGTTTTATGCTTTCTTTTCGTCTGTTTCTTTGCCTTGGGAAGTTCTACCTACTGTACCGACAGCAGCGATTGTTCCTTCCTTGAGTCCTGTTGTAGAGATAACGTTTGTAGACAAAGATGCAACGGCTGTTTCTTCAACTCACATTGTGGAACGGGCGAGCGGTGCTGTAACAGCAAATGCAACAGTAGTTCGTCTCCTTGTTCCTGTTCGTCCGGCTTCGATTGTGACATTGGCGAGAAGTGCTGTAATAGCAAATGCAACAGTAGTTCGTCTCCTTGTTCCTGTTCGTCCGGCGTCGATTGTGACATTGGCGAGAAGTGCTGTAATAGCAAATGCGTCAGTAGTTTGTCTCCTTGTCCCTGTTCGATTGACTCCCAATGTGACAGTGGCGAGAAGTGCTGTGCACATGATAGCAAATGCATCAGAAGTTTTTCTTCTTGTCCCTGTTCGTTGGACTCCGAATGTGACAGTGGCGAGCAGTGCTGTAACAGCAAGTGCATCAGTAGTTTTTATTCTTGTTCCTGTTCGATAGACTCCGAATGTGACAGTGGCGAGAAGTGCTGTACAAATAATAGCAAGTGCATCAGTAGTTTGTCTTCTTGTTCCTGTTCGTTCGACTCCGAATGTGACAGTGGCGAGCAGTGCTGTAACAGTAAATGCATCAGTAGTTTGTCTTCTTGTTCCTGTTCGTTCGACTCCGAATGTGACAGCGGTGAGGAGTGCTGTACATATGATGGCAAATGCATCGACAGTTGGTCTTCTTGTTCTTGTTCGTCCGATTACCAGTGTGACAGTGGAGAGGATTGTTGTGGGGGAGTATGTTCGTCGTACTGTAGTTGGAGCGGCGGAGCTATTGCAGGCACTGTGATCGGTACAATTATCTTCTTCGCCATCATCATTTCTGTCATATCCTGGCTTTTCTGTGCTTGCTGCCCGTACTACCGCTATCGCACACCCGGTACTGTAGTCGTCACCCAACAGCCGCAAGAACAGTTCGTCTCAACTCAGACACACATCATGACGACGCAGCAAGTACATCCTCCTCCGCCGATGAACCACAACCAGCCTCCTCTAGGTTTCAGTCAGGCTCCTGCTCCTTACTCAAGCTATCCACCGTCACTAAACCAATATCCTGCACTGCCAGGACAAGCTGAAGTAGTACCGATGTCGGTTGCATTTAACACAGAACAACCGAACAAGTTTTTACTAAAGTAAACTTGGTGCAAGCTAACTCACTCAATTCGAATAATTTTCTAGTGATTTGAGTAACCTTCGGTTTTTATTTCCAAACATAAAGATGTAGACGAGGTCTTACTAAAGATTCCTGATTGATTTGCACGCTGTATTTCATCTCGCTATCGTCGTTCAAAGACAAAAAAAAAGTAGATATACGTTTCTTGTAGACAGGATTTTTGTAGGATATAGATGGGCTCGGCTTAGCAACAATAATTATATTCTAGAATGATTAATGCATTCTTAGAAGTGTAGTCTCACTTTCGGTGTCGTATTAAACCGATCTGGCTGTATTTAACCCAGTCCTTGCTTCCATTCCGCTTGATTGTGAATTGCGATCGTGTCGAATAGCAGTGAAATGGTAATCTCAATAACATATTTACACAGGTTAAAAATCTGTTATTAGCTCGGTTTTCTGTTATTGTAATTTAGCCGCTAACACATTTACAGACGCCGGTATGATCTGGCTTATTCCGCTTCAGGGAGATCTGTTACCTTTTGATATTCTTCTTTTAGCTGATCGGATCTTTAGCAGATCCATCGACATCATAAGCTGTATCGATGTCGAGTTGTAATTACATTTGTGTGTTGTCTCAACTTTGTGAATAATAAATTTTTGTTAACCGCCGCCGTGTTCAACGTTCCGTATGATGTTCCGGTGACTGGTTCGTAAGTAGATTTTGAAGTTTTGCTTTGTTCTTATAAAGTTGGCAAAAGTTTCATCTGAGCTATTTCTTCAGAAATTGGAGTTTGAGCTGTTTGCTTGAAACTAAACTGACGAGACATGTCAAGACCAAGCAGGTGGAAACATTTTTATACGGTTACTTTGGCTTTCAGTATTAAAATTCCATGCCTTTGTCGTGTTCGCCGTTCTCCGATGAAAGCTGACGAAACAGCCTTTAATCAGCGAATACAAAGCGGTTAAGGTTCTGATTTTGTTTTGCTATATCGATCATTTTGCAAATACAGACACTATCTTGTAGGGCTTTGTGAGACCCACACCTGCCTATTGCAGGTAGAGACAATCAAAGATGTTTTACTCAACAGCGGCTAAGTTGAGTTGGCAGGGCTTTCAACGGTTGCAGGTTCGCTTGTGAGGAACTAAAATGCAAAGAAAACAAAATTCTACAATCTTATTTATGGAGTTCGCGTGATATAATTACCATAATCCTATTTTAACCAGCTGTGTTGATGTTTATAAGACGTTGATAAAGCATGTTGAATACCAAACAACCTTTACGATTTAAGGAGAAACACTTCAGTCACTCAGAACTCAACCTTTCAGGTGTTCGTTAAATGAATATGGTGCTTACTACTGACGTAATTTTCAATAGAATTGAAGGTAAGCAAATGGCTTTGTAAAACTCTAAATCTCATTTAGGCTCCAACCTCTGAGTTACCATTTTCCCGTGACATAATCCTAATTCGAAAGCGTTCTTTCCTGACTATACCGTAACTCAAAATCGCACTGAATTAATTACTTTCGTTTTGGTTAACAACAATTACAAGAAAAAATAAGACTGGACACAATTCTGTCAGCACTTGTTAGGAAATTTAGATAAGAACTATTAGTTATCTGAATCGGAATAAGAACGAACTGGAAGAGCTTGGCCTCCAAATGAAAAAACACCCGTCGCGCCACAACTAACGCTAAAAAAAGCTCCATACAATTCCTTAATTATAATTTTATTATAGGGAATTATTTGAATCTCTCTGGGATACTTACAGTGCCAGCCCTGTGTGTCTTCTCATGTTACTTTCCGACCTTATTTTTGGAAAAATGGCACACATATCATAAAATCAAAAATTAAGTCGAAAATCGATACAATAAAAATTACTTTTTTCTTAACTCTCGAACGAAAAAATTTCAAAACGTTCTTGATGATTTTCAGTCTTTGTTTGAGGGGTGTTTTAAGTGAGTTACAACTCTTCTGTACACAAAACGTTTGATTGCTGGTGCGCAACATTGAAACATTCCTTGTCAATAAGGTTAGTAGGGATATCTGCTGTTTGCGTACCATAGAAATCCAAGCAAAATTGGCTGCGAATTGGCCGTCCGGATCTAAAACCCGCAGTTGGGGTCTAACACTTCCTCAGCTTTAGTTTCATTCCATCGCGTGATCCCTTTTTAAGGGTATTTTGGATTCGCACATAAACTCTAAACCGCTTGAGTACGGCGACTAAAAAATCTTTATGTAGCTAGAATTCACGGAGGAACACGCTCGTGTTTTTGTGTTGGAACCTAACAGTCTTTGACGATCAGTATGGTTGGATTTCGATCGAACTGTCGTTAACGTAACCTATAGTTCGTGTTTATCAAGTTATCGTCTATCATGCCTTAAATAAACGGACCAGCCTGATTTTGTTAGACCTGTGGTTGCTTCACTGCAGTTTCCTCGCGTCCATTTATTAACCGGTAAAGGCGGCCACTACAGTGAAAGACTACGAATTCCTCACAGAGAAAAAACATGGATTCGCAAAAACACTACCAGGTTCAACAAAGGGACACTGGGATCAGACTGACACCAGAAGGGTTTCGCTTTGAACCAAGCAACCTTGGACACATGCAAAATACTACGCCATCAGAATTTCTGATCAAACCAAGTTTCGGAGTCACTCCAAATACCACATAGGAAGAAAATGTCGCCTCAGCAGGAATCGGGGTTAGTGTCTTCCCCTTTGTTTCGTCCGAAAACACGTCGACACGTCCAAAAATAGTTCAAATTTCGTCCAGTGAACTCACAGACATTCATTCAGAGAACAACACTAGGTCCAGGACTCTCACGGCCAAGGGCCGAGAGTTTCAAAGCGGCTTGAAGAAAACCGCCGCGCTGTCCAAAGATCGTGAACTACTTCAAACTAAGTAGTTTCACTATAGTCAAGACACAATTAAAATTAAAAATGAAATCACTGTTATCTCAAAGAAAGTAAGTGATGCATTACGATTATTTAATGAATGGGTAGAGCTTTCAATGGACCCAACTGAAAATCAGCATGCAACACAAAAGCAAGCCTTCTTGCTGGATACAGGGAAGTTTGTTCATGCCGCAGCGCTAAACGAAATAAAGAAGTCTCAAGCGGACAATGGCTCTGTATTCTCTCAAAAATCTCGTCCTTCGCGAAGGTCTAGCGTATCAAGTGGAAGTTCATGCGGAGACACAATCATAAACGGAAGAGCGAAAAGAGTGGCCTTGGAAGAGAAATTGAAGTTTTCAGCAGCCATCGCAGAACAGGAGAAAAACCTGGAACAGCTTAAGCTTCAAGAGAAACTAGGAGAAGCCCAGGCACAAGAGGCTGGGTATGAAAAGGCTCTGGAAGAAGAGGACAAAGAGGACGACTCTCCCCCGTTGCTGCCAACCAGACCGTACAATCCTATCAACGCCTTCTTGAGTGACGACGCCCAAGAGTTAACTTTAAAACCAGAAGCTGATCCTTCCGTATCAAAGAATTCCCAACTAGTTCCGACTGTGAGTGCTCCTTCAATGCTTACGTCACCACCTAAGTTCGCCGTCTCTACATCATTAACTTCTCAGCTCACTGTCCGTGCAGAATCAAAGACTTCAGCAGCTCCTTCAAGCAGGAAACTTGAAGGCACTATCTATTTTAGTACTCACACTAGCTCTAGCTCTGGACAACGGGCTCCTTTAACCTACACAACGTCTTTTACCACCAACTCTGTTTTCTCGAAAACTCACGCTAGTTTTAGTATGGGAACGCGGGTTTCCTCAACTTATACGATATCCTCTTCAGACTGCCCAGTTCATACAACCACTAACAAAAAGGGTAAATCTGGATCAAACGTGCCATCTATTTACGCCACACCCCGAGGCTTTTGCGGAAACTCCCCGGCTATTATCCCGTTACCCGATCCGGTCCACACCGTTCCATCGCAAGCTTACTTGCTAGTTTTCAGTGACACGCTGGCCAAAATGACACAGCTGCATCGTCTGCCCCAAGCTAAACCAGAGGTCTTTAAGGGAAACGAACAAGATCAAACAAAATTTTTTCTGTGGGAGAACGCAATAGATAGTTTGATCGATTCAGAACTCGTCACAGCCACACACAAACTGCACTTGTCGTACTAATATTTAGATGGAAGAGCCAAAAGAGTTGTCGAACAACTCCAGTACCTTGTACAAGACCCAGAAAACACATACAAGCAAGCACGTACAATTCTCAAGGAACGCTTTGGTCATCCTGCGATTATCAGTGCCAGCTTTGAGAAAAACTAGCACACTGGCCGAAGATTCATCCTAATGATGTGTCTGCATTAGAAGAATTTGGTGACTTTCTATACCACGTTCAGATTGCAAGTCCGCACGTGAGCGGTCTAGGAGTTCTCAATTACCAATCGCAGATCCAAAGCTTCGTTGAGTTACTTTATCGACCAAGCGAATAAAGAAGCGCAAACCACTTTGGCCGGAGTACGACCCCGTCGGGGAGTCTTATCTGAATGAAACTTTTGAATCTTAGAACACTTAAACTTTGTTTGTTGCTCATTGAAATTTCAGCTTTAGTTTCGTTAGCTTCTCAGCTTTAGTTTCGTTACGTTACGTGATCCCTTCATACGGGTATTTTGGATTCGCACATGAACTCTAAACCGCTTGAGTACGGCGACTAAAAAATCTTTATGTAGCAAGAATTCACGGGGGAATTCGCTCGTGTTTTTGTGTTGGAAGCTTAACCAAACAGTCTTTGACGGTCAGTATGGTTGGATTTCGATCGAACTGTTTCTAACGTAACCTATAGTTCGTGTTTATCAAGTGATCGTCTATCTTTCCTTAAATAGACGGACCAGCCTGATTTTGTTAGACTTGTGGTTGCTTCACTGCAGTTTCCTCGCGTCCCTTTATTAACCGGTAAAGGCGGCCGCTACATAGGGTAATATCTTCATCCTCTTTGTCAGAAAAGTCGTTTTCTGAGCCCGTGTCATATTCGTCTGCATATGTTCGCACCTCAGCTACTGCCACTTCAAAGATACAGTCGTCAACAAATGTGGCATAGGTCACATTTCCACCTTCCGAATTAGATCTTTGACGGCTCCTTTGTCGCTACTGAGCCCTACTGGCTGATCTTCAGAGTTAAAAGGGGTGCCTACAAGTCAACTTTGGTGGAATTTTTCTTCATGAAGGCGGCCGGTGGAAAAGCTCCAGCCTTGTCCCTGGTAGTTTTCTCCCGAGCTGTCCTTTGTCAAACGGACGATACTTCTCCACAATTTTTTTCAAAGCACTCTCACTCCCGGAGTTGATCTCTTCTGTTCACATTTGCAATGATGGCAAAGCAAGCTCAGAAATCGCCACAAAACACAATGGACACGCAAGGAATCAGTAAGTTTTATTAAACTAACGTATAAAATGTTCTTATTTCGGAATATTTAGTGTTTTAAATCGACCATATTTTGTTCCAATACTATCCTTTTTAACGCATTCAAATTTTCAACGGTTGTTTGGGTAGCTTAAAATCACGTCACACAACGCATGACGTTTTCATGAAATAGTCCTTAGTTTTTGCTCGACACGTGACCTTGGGACGCCTGTGCCTCTCCGATCGAGGTATAATCGCGAAACAGAAGCAGTCAAAACTTTTACCGTCACAACTTGCAAAGCATGGAACAGTTTA